CAAACCGCGCTGGGCGTTTACTAAAAGCCCTGCCCTGTGCGATTCGTTCTTTGGGTGCGTTTACTGAACGGCCTCGCTTGTCGGGGTTATTATTGTGGGGGGATTTTGTTGCCCTCTAATCCTGGTTGGAGTGCGCCCTGGGAGAAGTCTGGACATATCGTCGGTGCAGTCTCGTTCCTAGGAGAGGGGGGCCTGGGAGGGGGGTGAGGGGCAGTAGCAGAGGGCGAGGGAAAAAAGGGGGACGAGAAGGGGAGTATGATCCAAGGTCGGCAACGCTCGCGGTACGTCTGACCTCCTCTTTCTCTCCCATCCCTTCCCACTGTGCTGATGTCTTCTCTATCCGCGGGCGCGTGTCATAGTCGACCGGGAACTCCAACAAAATGACCTTACCGTGGCACGCGCAGTCGGGAAAGGGAAGTTGCGTACATAGGAGGAAGAGGCAGAGAAGGAGGAGGAGAAGGAAGAGGAGGAGGAGGAGGAGGAGGAGTTGGCGGGTGAGCAAGAGACCGATCAGGAGGAGAAGGAGGAGGATGTAGAAGGAGGAGGAAGAGGACGAACAGCAGCAGCAGTAGGAACTGGAGTGGAAGGAGCGGGAGGAGACCAGGGGATGGCGGAGGAGGGAAAATAGAGGGGTGACAGCGATGAAAAAGGACCCGGATCCAGAAAAGTGGCCCACACTGGGGCGGGAGCGCAATTTTGAACGTCGGGAGCAAAGCGCCGATCCCCAAATGAAGCCCACGCTACACTGGGAGCACCATTTGGAACACACCGAAGACAATCGGATTGTGAAGCAAAGAGGCAAAGGAAATTCAATGTTTGAAATCTTGTGTGCGAGAACAATAATCGGAGAGGGCCGAACCCCTTCCGCACAGTGTCAGTGCGCGGTCCCCAGAAGTCCCGTCCCTTTCGCCTGGGCCTGTTTTTCATCCTGAATCGTTTTGCGGCGGCCTTGGGGCCGGGGGGAGGGCCCCCCGCAGCCGAAATCTACGAAGCACGCCCCGTCCGGATTTTTTTTTACACAACGCGAGCATGCCTCGGAGGTGGATAGACCTCCTACCTTGTCACGTCGATTAAGTAATTGGCCGTTTTCGGTTCGCAAGAGGCGTCGCGGCCGTCATTCTTGCGGGTCCAGGTCCGTCGATTTCGGCCCTAGGTCGTTCTCACTAAGGGGAGGTTTACTAAAGGGAGCTTTGTCCACCTCCGAATCTAGGGGAACGGAGAATGACATAAACATGCTTGATTCGGAAGTCCGCGCTGATTTCTCGGATCGGCGCTGGGGCCCCCTGGCGGCGCCTTCGGCGCCGCCCCTGGCGCGCTCCGCGCGCCAGGGAGGGGGATCCAGCGCGGATCCGAGAAAGGAGGAGGAGGAGGAGGAGGAGGAGGAGGAGGAGGGGGAGGAGGAGGAGGAGGAGGAGGAGGAGGAGGAGGAGGAGAAGGAGGAGGAGGAGCAGATCCGCGCGGACCTCCGAGCTTTGCCTGGGGAGAGAGGGAGGGGGCAGCAGTCACAGGGCGGCCTCGGGCCTCGTCCGGGCCTGGGGCCGTCGCTCCGCGGGAGGCCGAGGGGGCCCTGTTGCCCACAGCTCGCTCGGCCCGCTCCCGTCTCTCGGGAGGGAGCAAACAGCAAGTACGGTAGGTTCGCGTCGTGTCGACCGGCGGCGACCCCGACGCCGGCGTTCAACATTGAATGCCGGCGGAGGCCCAGAATCGGTCGATGTTGAACGATCGGACGTTACGGAAATGGCCGATCGTTCAAGGTTGCACGATCCTCGCGGCGTCGGGGACCAACGCCCAGGTCGACACGGCACGGACCTGCCGTACACGCCGGTTTCGGTAGCAAGTCATGGGAGCCCGGTGTACCCTTTGAATTCCGTCTTTAGCGTCGGTTAGCGTCGATTAGCGTCGGGGGTCGATGAGAGAACGCCGATTTAGCTTCAGTTAGCGTCGGTTAGCGTCGATTTAGCGTCGATAAGCGTCGACTAGAGTCGATTAGCGTCGATTCGCAAGAGCCGACAAGATGGTATGGGAGGCTCCCATGAGTTGCCACCGAAGCCGGTCGTTGGAAGTAGGTATTTCTGGATTCCCAGATCACAGTCTGCTTCAAGCGCCCTCCTACTTCAAGAATCGGCATGCTTTTGCTGTGTTTTGCTGTTCTCTGGGGGGGCCTGGACCCAATCCACTATATCCGCCTTCCTACTTCATGTTTCTATCTACTTCATCCGACCGTCGTGTAAGTACGGTCGAACCAAGGTATAAATAAGATCGAGGTCGGTTCGGGGAGGGTGCCCTGGTGTTCTTGGTGCTTGTTGGATGGTCTCGTGCATCCCGGGGAGGGTAACTATCCTTGGCTGTTCCGTGCAGTTTGGCCGGCAGAGGGTCCCGTGTTCTTGAGAGATGCTCTTCTGTCGTTGGGTCCGAGTGTATCGATGATGCGCCGCCGTCGGGAGCCCGCCGCCGTGTTCATCATTTCTGCGTTGTTGTGCACAGGCCTGGTGTTTCTGTCTAGGCCCCCGAGATGGGGTCCGAGCAGATGGGGTCAGAGGATCGCGCCGCATCCCCGATGCATCGACGACACGGCTCGATGTGGAGCCAGCCAGCATTTCTCCGCGCCGATGGCGCCGATGCGTCGTCGACATCGCCGATGCATCGGCGATGCGGCGCGATCCTCCGACCCCATGTACTCGGACCCCAGATGGGAGGTCTCTTTTCGTCAACAGTAACACGCTGATGGGTTCTCCACGGCGGCGTGTTAACCGCATGCCGATGATAATAAAGGGACCCCCCCCCCTTCAGTGTTTAGAGTTGATTATCGTCGCCCTATACAAAATTCAAATTGGGCGGCGAGCGCTGAGGCCGAACTTCATTATCACCTCGAAACGCTATGTCGAGATAGCAACATCAAGCGATGTTGATATAGCAACATCAAGCGAAGCGATCACACTTTTTCAGGATGTGTCAAGCGAAACCAATAATTTTGGGAGGCAGACTCAAACGAAACGAGCAATGTGTTTTATTATTATTATACTTTCCTCTTCTTCTTTTATATTTCTATCTGTCCTCACGCTCGCCTGAACTTTTTTATCCCTGGGGGTGATTATCCATGGAAAATGAAGCACATGAGCTACCCTACACGAGCACTTAAAAAAATCAATGTTCATAAAGCGTTTGTGAATTAAAATTGATAGATTTGGAACTTTGGATTTTTCCTTTCTTCGTCCTCTTCTTATTATCCTATTCTTCTTCTTTCTTATTATTCTTCTACTGTATTATTCTTCTTTTATGTTTATATGAAAACTAAACGCCAAGGATGTCTCAAAACGTGCTCGGCTTGGTCTCCTCTTGATCATCTCTTACTTCGAGATTATGCTGAGGTCTGCTGGGCTACTTTTATTATCTCTCCCTGAACCCCGAACTTTATTATCCCCTAGTGTTTATTCTCACGGGCATGAGGTTATTGACATTGTGTTTGCCTTCACGATTCTCATCCTCTCCACTCGGGGCAACGGTCAGCGGGGATATACTCAGAGGGCAGGGTATCGACCCCAAATCGCCCACTCGTCGCCGAGAGGGCTTTATAGCCCACCCCGCCCAGAAACGTGTTGTTTCGCTATCGAGAGCCTATCGCCGAATCCAGGTTGATGTTCCCGCTCATTTCCCCCCCTTTCGTTCTCCCTCTCCACCCCCTTCCACTGGGCTTCTCGCGCCTTGGAGAAGTAGCGGCGGGAGGTCTCGAAGAAGGTTTCGGGCTCCCGGGGCTTTCGCCCGTTTCCGGCGCGGTCAAAGGTCACCGGAAGGGGTCGAGACTTCTGGGAAGCCACCCTTTTGGGCGACGCAGAAAACGGGGTCGACTTCGCCGACGTTGACGCGCAAGCTGCCCGCGTAAGGTCACACGTGACCGTCTCCCGTGTTTTTTTTTTTCTGGGCGACGAGATCTGTGCACAGCCTCCGCCCTGGTCAGGTCCACTCTGGGCCCAATGGGTTGTGTATATACGCCTCCCCGGCCCTGCCAGGGGGACGCGCTCGCCGCTCCTGGGGCTGGGAGGAGCCTTGCCAGGGAGGGGGCATCTGCTCAGCAGGGGCAAAAACATACAGACACAATTCATCATCGACTCCCAGGAAAACATGGGAAACTATAGGAGTGGGGGGGAAGACGAAAGCCCAGAAAACATTGGAACATATGGGGAACCCTGGGATTAGTGTCTGTTTCTTTGTGTGTCCCAGGGCCCCTTTTATATGTACAGATCGCACCGCCCTACCTCTCCTCGGACCTCCGACGTCGTGATTTCGTAGCGCGGCTCCCCAGGAGGTCTCCTGACCCCCTTCCCTGCGACTGGGTTGTCCTGCCGTGCTGTATATTTTGGCGGCCCAGCGCTTGGTGCGGGGCCCTTCGAGGCCTCGCATCGCCAACACACGTTTCGTCATGCTTGTCCACGAAGCGAGGGGATCAGCGTCCACCTCCCATTCCGAGTTTGACGTTCAATATATATATATATATATATATATATATATGTAGATAGATAGATAGATAGATAGATAGAAAGATATATATATATATAAATTATGGGATTACCCACCGCCCAGGGACCCGCGTCCTGGGACTGACGTCGACATCCTATTCGTGCCCCTCGGGGCCGAAAAGATGTCCACATCCGCTGGTTCTCTGGGATCCTGTGACAGCGACCCCAGCGATGGACATGCCCAAGTTCTGGCCTCGGCCCTCTCCCGCCCACGTCCGCTCTGTCCCGCGACGCGAGGAGGTCCGGGGTTCTGTGTTGGCCCCGAGCTTCTCTCCTGCCCCTTTTCAGGAGGGGGGAAAAACACACAGACACAACTAATCGACGATGCCCAGGAAAACATAGGAAAATATGGGAGGTGCGGGGGGGAAGACAAAAACCTAGAAAAGATTGGGAATCCTGTTATTTGTGTGTATTTATTTGTGTGTCCCAGGGCCCCTGCCCCCTTCCCTTCCGCCACCCCTCGCTCCCCGGCTCTGCTCGGCGCAGGTCGGGCTCACGCTCGATGCCATCGTGGACCGCCTGCAGGGCCGAAGGAAGGAGGCACCCCCCCTGCCATCCTGCCTCCTCCCATGCTTCCCATCCCTTCCTCCCATCCTTCCCATCCTTCCTCCCATCCTTCCTCTTCCCATCCTTCCTCCTCCTCCTCCTTCCCATCCTTCCTACCCATCCTTCCTCCTTCCCATCCTCCCATCCTTCCTCCCATCCTGCCCCCTCCTCTGACCCCCTGGCATGGTGAACAAAGCACGACGGAAGGCTTTCGGCTGTTTTCGATCTCCCCGGACCCCAGGGCCATCGAATGACGACTCGATCGGGATGAAGGGCCGGTCCCTGGTATGGGGTCCAGACGGCTCGTCCAGAGTTTTGGGGAGCCGTGCTGCAACACAAATTCTTGAGGCTTCGTGTATCCCCACCAGCCCTGGACGCCGCTTCCGCTCCTAGACTGTCGCCTGGGAGCCGCCAACCAAAAAAGTGTATCCCCACCAGCCCATTCAGAAACAGATCGCCACGCGAGTTGCCTTTATCAGGGAAGTGTAGAAGCATGAAGTGTAACAACCGCCTTGGAAGTGTTTTCTTGGAGGTCTCTTGGAGCCATCTTGGGTCTCTCTTGGGGTCCTCGCGGAGCCACTTGGGGCGCTCTTTGGCCCCTTCATAGGGGGTCTAGGGAGTCTAGGGGCCCTCTTGGGGCTCTTTGGGAGGGTCTGGGGGGCCTCTTGGGGCCGTCGTGGGCCTCCCGTGGCTTAAAAAAGGGGGGTAGTAGATTCAGGTGCCCCCCTCGGAGGCTAAACAAATATGTCTTGAGGATCTCTTGGGCGTTCTTGGGGCCCTCTTGGGCCCTCTGGGGACCGTCTTGGGGCTTTCTTGGGCCGTCTTGGGGCCATCTTGAGGCTTCAAGAGCCGAAGCGAAAACGGCGACAAGGTAAACAATTGTTTTTCCATTGGTTTTGAAGCATTTTGGCTTCTTGGTGGGGTCCTTGGATGGCTCGGGGGGCACTTGACACCGTCTTGGGGCCGTCTCGAGGCCTCTTGGATGTGTGTCGGACGCTATTTTGAACTATCTTGAGATATCTTGAGCCATCTTGGAGGCCATCTTGGGCTCTCTGAGGCCCTCATGGAGCCCTCTTGGGCCATCTTGGGCGCTCTAACTACCCGCGCCCCCCCTCCCAGGCCCAGGGGAGGGGTAATTGGAGCAACCGATTGGATCAATGCCCCTCCCCTCCCCCCTCCTCGGGGGCCTCAAATACATGAGTTAAACAGACAGATGCAATCCAGCCGTCAGAACTGATTTTTGAATCGTCTGCCCCCCAGGCAGTTGTTCTGCCGTCGCGTTCAAATTGATTTTCTATTCGACGGCGAAGGCGAGCAGCGCGAGGACAACGATGACGACAATGACGATGGCGCGGCGAAACGCGACAGTCGTTGTCGTTGTTTTCGTCGTCGTCCTTCTGGAGCAGGAGGAGGAGGAGGAGGAGGAGGAGGAGGAGGAGGAGGAGGAGGAGGAGGAGGGGCAGGAGGAGGAGGAGGAGGGAGCAATGTGGCAACCCAGCGTGCTGGGCCCATACCCCCTGGGGCATCAGACCAGCGTACGCCGTACAGCGGTCTCGAAGCAGTACGTGTTACAATAGCGAGCGAGGAAAACTGCATGCTGCAGTCGATCACTCCCTCTGCTAAGAAATATTGCTGTCGCTGCTTCCATGGGAGGGTAAGGATGAAGCGTGTGTGTGTGTGTGTGTGTTTGTGTATGGTCTGTTCGGAGTGGGGCTACCCAGCTTGTCCTTAACCGTTTTCCCATGGGATGTGGTATCATGTTCCCGGAAGCCTCTCTGGGAACATGAATGGCGGTGTCCCCGGAAGTTTCTCCGCGAGCACTTTGGGGGGCCGGATGGCCTTCGACCCCGTCTCGGGGCTCTGGGGGGAGGGGCCCCAGCCACCCCAAAACCAACCGAAAAAGGGACACCGAGCCTACCCCACCTCGGTGTACCAGGGGGCCCCCAGTACACTGGGGGGGGGGGGCTCGGTGTCCCATTTTCGATCGGTTTTCGGCGTCTCCTGGGCCCCGTCCTGGCCTGCCCCCTGGGGGGTCGGGGATGGGGGTGCCCTTCCTGGGCCTCCGGGGGTTCCGGAAGCTTTTCCAGGAGCATCGTTTCGCCCGCAGGGGCGTTTGGGGACGTCCGTGCCGCGGCGGTGGTCTGGTTTTCCGCCGTGGCCGTATGAGCTCGGAAATGCAAGCCCATGGCCTGCCCCCCGCTCACTTTTTGCCCTCCTCGCCCAACCCACGCGAGGGGGGGACCGCCAGGGCAAGCTGGCAAGCATATTCAGGGGGCAAGCTGGCACCGTGGCAATGTGTCAACCCAGCGTGCTGGGCCCTTCGCCCCCGGGGCCTCCATCAGACCAGTGTACACCGCACAGCGGTCTCGAAGCAGCATTTGTACAATAGCGATCGCGGAAAAATGTATGCTGCAGTCGATCACTCCCTCTGTTAAGAGACACTGCTGTCGCTGCGTTCGTGGAGGGGTAAGGATGTTCAAAATAGCGTCCCCAAAGCGGAAGATGGCGTCGCGAGCTTTTGAGGACTTTCGAGAGCGCAGATGATTCAAGATCGAAGAGCTCACACAGCGTCAGGAACCACGCCGCACAAGGCAGGAGCTCGCCGCGGCTCTGTTCGCGCCGTCCGTTGTCGCCCACGTGGTTTTCAGTACGTCTTACTGCCGTGCAGAGCGTCAATTTCTCGTGAAGTTGTTTCTTTTAAAAGACGGACCCTGGCCAGGGATTGGCCAAGAGGGCTGACCAGGGTTGGCCGAAGGCTCCGCTGAAGGATTGGCCCGGTGGCTCTTCGATTGGTTTCTTCCATAACACCGAGTAGCCATCCGCTCTCGAAGCTGTTGTTGTGGTTCTGCCTTGTCCCAGGCCTCCCAATGGAACCAGAGCAGATGAGGTCGAGGGCCACCGCGCCGCATCGCCGATGCATCGGCGATGCGGCACGAGCTGGAGCCCGTTCTTCCTCATCACGCCGTCGGCTGTGCATCGGCGATGCGGTGCGGTAGCCTTCGACCCCAGCGCTCCGGCCCCATTGGGGAGGCCTCCACCTGTGCAGGTGGAGGTGCGCCAGGCGGAGAAGCAGCGCAGGGAAGGCGAGTGGTACCGGCAGAAGCACGGGCTGTGACCTGGGGCTGGCAGGTTACCGCGTCGCTGCAGCGGGCTCCTTCGGTGGCCGCCGGCGTTGCGGTTGTGAGTCTCTCTCTGCTCCCGCACATAAGTCCCCGCCCTCGCAGAGAAGGGAGAAGCGCGAGAGGGGAAGGACGAGGAGGATGAGGATCGAAGTCGAGGAGGAGCAGCCGCCGAGTGAGGGAGGATGAGGAGACCGAACATGAGGCGGAGGAACCCCGTTCAGCTTCACCGATAGTACGCAGCCTGTGCCGGCCCTCAGTGCACAGCCTGCGTGTCTTGAGTGGCTTCGATGGACAAGCACACGTCTGCGCTAAAACGTGTTCTGAGGATCCTGTATCGAGGATTGAACGTGCACGCCTCCCAGACGTCCGAAGCCGTGCTGTTTCCTCGCAGCCCGGCTCTCCAGATGTCTCGACCCCTCCCCAGGGGATCGGCTCTCCAGCCTGGGCCGTCTGCGGACGGCCCCGGGGCCCGGTGAGGGCCCCTGTGGGCGGAACATCTGCCAAAATCCTTTGGCGTGATTTTTGTCACGGCTTTGTCGAGCTCCTGGATCGCGCATCCCCGCCGGGCAGGAGCGATTCCCGCGCGATGTACCCCGAGCAGGGCTGCGCAGGAGCGTGCAGTGCCAGGGAGTCGAGGGAGGAGGCGGAGGAGGAGGAGGCGGAGGAGGAGGAGGAGCAGGAGGAGGAGGAGGAGCAGGAGGAGGACGAGGAGGAGCAAGCAGGATGAGGAGGAGGAGAAGGAGGAGGAAGAGAGAAAAGCGAACGGTAGGAGGACTTGAGGTAATATGGCTTTGGGGCGCCTTAGCCCCGTCAGTGGGCCCGGTGCCCTGGAGCTACCATCCTGTATGCCACGGTAGCCCGATGTGGCATATGGCCTGGGGCCATCTGTGTCCAGACCGCACTGGCTGGGCCAACGAATCAAGAGAACCCGGGCACCGTGGCCCAGGCATTGCGGCTCCAGCGTGGGAGTGCACCTTGACTCCTTCAAGTCCGCGTGAAGTCCTTGGCGCCATACACTTGTTGACACAGTCTGGGGTTATCGATAGTTTGCCAGGAGCGGGAGGAGGAGAACGAGGACAATGAGAGGATGGAAAGGATAGCGTGGCGCATGAGGAGCAGGAGGAGGAGCAGGAGGAGGAGGGGGAGAATTTAGCTTTTCGCCTTATTTCATGTTGGTTCGGAGTCTCCAGAGACCTCAGGCACGTGAATGTGCTGGAGAAATTTCGGGGCCTCGTCTCCAAGGGAACGAAAAGCTAATCCCTCGCCCTCGGCGGAAGGTCGGCGGAAGTAAAACGAGGGTGGTATTCCAGCTAGGTGGCCGGCGGAAGTAACGGCCCCTCGGTGAGGAAGGTTCTAGGGAGGTCCACACGTGGTCGAGTCAGAACGGGCTGGCACCAGCGCCCTGGTCGTCAGGCGCAAGGGATCATAGTTTGTGCGAGTGAGTGATACGTCATTGCTCTGCCCACCGATTCACCATTCGTTGGCACCGCGCTCCACACAACATGATATTAGGTGCCATTGAATTCCGCACGGGTTCGTCCTTGTGAACTCGTAGATATCAGCAGACATCTGCAACGTTCACCTACACGAGCCTCAATTTTCAACTGTGAAAGGTGCCTGTTTTGCATTGACGTCGGCACAATGAAGACCCCGCTGTGCTCCAATCGATAAAGATCAGAGAGAGAGGCACAAGTATAGGCAACGAAGATGCGCACGTGCGCAACTTACGAGGAGGAGGAGGAGCGTGATGCTGCGTGATGTGAGGAACTTGGTGTGCTCTCGCCGAATCTGAGATCCTACCGCCACCACCTCTTCTCTTCTCATTTCGTAAAGTCCGTTTATGTCCGACGACTGGGGTGTCCTGGATAATTTCCATCGCCAGATGGCAGCTGCAGGGTTGGGTCCATCGTTCAATGCGCAATCGGCAAAGGGGGCCTTGATCATTGGAGTCGGGGGCGGCAGGTGAGCAGGGGGAGGAGTAAGGCTGAGGACCAGGAGCAGGAGGAGTAGGAGGAGCAGAAGATGAGGACAAGCCAGTCATTCAGTCACAAGCCGTCCAGCCGGGCGGACGCATAGGCAAGACGAGTTGTGCACGTTGGCGCGTTCGTCAATGGAATGGAATGGAATGGAAGTCTGCGTGCCATCTCCGGTACCCGGAGCGGTCCCGTAGAGGGCAGACAGTGCGCTGAGCATGTCGGAAAATGAATGGAGGCAGCGAGCTCACGCGGTAAAATGCGGTTAACAAATCCTCTGGTGTGCAGGGGGACGGCAGCAACGATCAAGCAATCGGATTCAGAAGTGTGGCCGGGGATCTGGCGAGAGCGCCATTTGTCGGGAGTAAAGCACCCATCTTGACATGTTGCCAGCGTTGCAGTGGGAACAGCATGTTTCAAGGACAGGGAACGTTCGGTAGGTAAACAGAAAGCGCACACCGGTTATACAAGATCACGAGGTCCCGCTCTTGCAATCTGAACATGCGAAAGTGGCGGGCACACGCACGCATTGTATCAGCGGAAGGAGGAGAGTAGTTATTACATCGCGACCTTGTGGAGGTGCCGCTGTGGACGAGGAGGAGCAGGGATGAGCGAGTGAGAGATGCCGTTGTGGAGGACGCCGATGTGGGGGCATGGCGCCGTCGGCCCTGGAGCCCGATCACCAGACACCCGATGTCTTGATTCTTCTTCCATGCGGGGTCCCCAGAAGTCCCGACCCCTTGCCGGGGACGGGCTGTTCACCCCGAGCCGATGTCTTGACGGTCGCGGGGTCTTGCAGGGGCCCCCAGAGGCCGAAAATTGCCAAACGTTTTCAGTGCTGTTTCCACGACGCAAGGAAGAGGAAAGGAGGAGGCGGAGGACGAGGAGGAGGAGGAGGAGGATGGGGAGGAGGAGGAGGAAGAGGAGGAGGAGGAGGAGGAGGGAAGAGGAGGAGGAGGAGGAGGAGGAGGAGGACGACGAGTAGGAGGAGGAGGAGGAGGAGGAGGAGGAGGAAGAGGAGGACGAGAAGGGTGAGGTGGATAAGTCCTCGTGAGGATGACGACGCGAGGGGAAGGAGGATGACGACTCGATGGGGAGGAAGGGGAAGCCTCCTCCTCCTGCTCCTTCTCGTCCTCCTCGCCCTGTTGACCTAATGTACACTTCCCCTACCATGATCTCCAGCTTGTTGCAAGAAGGCGTGCAGCGTGCCCATGAACGTAGGCTCGCGGAGTCCACCCCCTCCTTCGTCGGTGAGCGGGTGTCGGTCGACCCCCTTCGCTCTTTCCTCCGTTCGAAGCGAACCTCTCCGCAAGCCAAGTACTGGGTGTGCGCGTGTTTCTCCAAGGGCTGCTGGACGGCCGATCGGTTACTTGAATCAGGCTATGTCTCAGACGGCAAATGCCCACGATGTGGTCAGCCAGATTCGATTTTCCACCGTCAGTGGCTCTGCGATGATTCGGAGGTTGCCCAGGCCCGTGCCGATGCGATCTCGCAGGATATCATAGATGCTGCACGAGCGAGCCCTCCAGAAGAACATGTCTTCTGGTCTCGCCTGATGATGGCCCAGCCAGAACCAGAGGCCTTCCCTCTCCCCTCGACGGCGACGGACCCTCTCCTTCAGGACGGCGACGGCAGGCCATTATCACTCCAAGATTTTGTAGAGCTGAGCGAGAGCTGCGACGTAGTCGTGGACGGCTCGGCCACGCAGTGCATCATAAAAGATCTACGCCGAGCTAGTTTTGCCGCGGTTTTCCTGGAGCCAGGTCCTGAGTACAAGATCAGGACCCGACTCATGGCCCCGAGTTGGCCAACGATCCCGCAAACCCCCCAGGCTGCGGAAAACGTTGGTCTTGCCACTGTTTGTGCGTTCGCGTCTGGATTGAGCACCCTTCACAGTGATTGCAAAGGTGCCATCCGTTTGCACAATGCGGCGGATGCGGCCCAGCTCGGGCCCAAGCATATGTTTGCGGGAGTGCGTCGGGCGGCGCAGCAGGCCCCTGGTTTCGATGCTGCTGGAGAGGCCCTTTACACGCCAGCCCACAGATCGGAACAAGTAATCCAAGAGCTCCCACCAGAGGAGCGCAGGATTGCTCTGGGTAATGCCGACGCCGACCGATTGGCGAAGCATGCCCTCTCCCTTCACCCCCAAGCGTCAGCTGCTGATCTGGCTGAGCTGGATAGGCGGGTGAATCTCCTTCTGGACTGTGCGAAAATGTTCGGGGCGGTGCTCCTGCTTTTTCCCAAGTTAGATTTTGTTCGGTCCCCTCCTGCGGCTCGCCTCCCGAAGGTAAAGCCACCGCCAGACTGGCACGAATGGGGGGAGCTCGAGGACGGAGGTGTTTTTCGATGTAGCAGGTGCTTTCTGGTCTCTTTCGAGAGCGATGCCCGACCTATGAACGGTTGTTCTGGGCCCCCTTACTGCTCTCAGACGCCTCGAAGGTGCTGAGACAGAGAGGCGCCATCGGTTGGGCTCTGCTGTGCTAGAGGGGACCCGCAAGCCGCTCTTTTTCTGCACCCGATGCGGTGCGTATACCAGCAGACGCTGCCACTTGCTCGGCCAGATGTGTCTCGGAGAGCTCAGCACTTCAGGAGAAGGTGCGATCAAGCGCATTCGAGATGGCCTCCACCCCCATTATCGTAAGAATCCTGAGGGTGATGATGCTGTTGCACCGTGCAGGCCGCCGCCTAAGTCGGTGCTCCTTGCCCCTCCTGGCCCCGCCTCGGCAGGCAAGGCTCGCTTGGTCGACAACGATCGGCTGCGGGCCCTGGCTGAGCGCATTCGGGCCAAGGAAGCAGCCGCATGATCGCGGCCATGGATCGTGATGTTCTGCCTCAGGCTGTCGGGATCCTCCTCCTCCTCCTCCTCCTCCTCCTCCTCCTCCTGCTCCTCCTCCTCCTCCTCTTCCTTCTCCTCCTCCCCGTCCTCCTCCTCCTCCTCCTCCTCCTCCTCCTCCTCCTCCTCCTCCTCCTCCTCCTCCTCCTCCTCCTCCTCCTCCTCCTCCTCCTCCCTCCTCCTCCTCCTCCTCCTCCTCCTCCTCCTCCTCCTCCTCCTCTTGGGACCCCCAGACCTCCCCGCGTGGTGGAAGAACTCGCCCGGGTAGGGTCCGCGGCGCGCGTGCCTCGAGCGAGCCGTCCCCTCTGACCCTACCACGCCAGGGGCGGGGCGGGCCGTGGACTTCCCGCGCCCGCCTCCCCGTAGCCGCGGCCGCAGGTGCATCGACACGCTGGAGCCCTTGTTGGCGGCGCGCGCCGGGGCGTGGCGCGAGGGGGCGGGGCGTCGGGAGCCTTGAGACGGGGGTCAACGCAAACGGGGGTCAGCCAGAACGCCAGATCTTGCAGGATCCTGCAGGGCCAGGGTGGCATTGACCCGGGTTTGGGTGCACAATCCTGCAGGAGTTTTCTGGATTTTTGGCGTTGACCCGGATTTGGGTGCAGGGTCTGGCAGGATTTTGCAAGGCCTGATTGACCCGGGTCTGGATTGACCCGGGTCAGAAGATCCCCGAGGGCGGCCTTGTGAGAAGCTTGGGGTGCTACTACAGTGGGGGCCCATGCCAAGAAACACCCTGCTTGCCTCCAGGTTGCCCTGGGTTTCTGGGGGTTCGATTGTTTTCATATGGAAAGCGTGACGTCCCCGTGCCAAAAGTCAATGGACGTCCTGGGGTCTCAGGGTTGGGTTTCTTGTGGAGAGTTTTTTGGGTCGGGCCCCCACGCGAGTCGGAGTAGGAGGGGTCGGAGGATCGAGCCGCATCGCCGATGCATCGGCGATGTGTCTTGATGCGGAGCCCGATTTTGTTCACGCCGGCGTTGTCGATGCATTGCCGACGTCGCCGATAAATCGGCGATGCAATGGCGATGCGGCGCGATCATACGGCCCCATCTACTCGGACATCTTCTGGGAGGCCTCCATTTTAAGGAGGCAGGGCTCGGTCATCTAGCCAGGACCTCAGGTAAGGGGAGCCAGTTAGCGATTGGGCCCCGAAGCCTAACATATTGACCAGACTTACTAAACCAAGTCAGCCGTAGCAAGCGGATCTTCGGGTGACAGCAATGCGGTTAACTAGTGGAGTGGGGCGCGGGGGGCGTCCTTTGGTACACATAATGTCACCAGGTCCCACTAGACCAGCCCTGCCAACGCACGAAGGAGGCTCTCCAGAAGCCTTCCCGGCCGTTTAGCCGAGACCCTTCTGAAAAGGCCCCTGGCTCCTCAGAAGACGCTCGTCTTCTTAGAAGGCCGTCCCTCCATCGCGCCACCCCCTTGTGCGCGCCGCCAATCGTCAACGTCTCCGTGTCCTTCCCGGTGGACTCCGCCGGCTCCCTGGCGGGCATGCAGGCGCGCAGTGAGGTTCGAGGATCGAGGTTTCTGGGCGTTTCTGGCTTTGTCTGGCCCTTCTTCGTCGCCACGGCTGGATACACTTTGAAATGCTGCTCAGAAAGCACCCCAGGAGAGGTCTGGGGATCGAGCTTTACTGCATGGATCCCAGACCTCCAAAGTTCTAGGCCTCCTAGATGGGGTCTGAGAAGATGGGGTCGGAGGATCGCGGCGCATCGCCTATGCTTCCGACGTGATGCGTTTGGACCCTTTGCGTGAGATCTGAGGGCTCTCGATATTTCTCATCGGCTTCTCATGCCGAACAGTTTTCGGCGGCCCCGGGACCCGAAGCGAGGCTTCAGACTCGGGAGGCGCCGGCCGCCGCGACTTGCTCGTGGCGCCGGAGGCATGCCGCCAGGAAGGAAGGGCCCCCCGAGGGGCCTGGGGCCCAGTCCCTGGGGCCGTCCCCGTGGCCGGCGCGCAGTCCCGGGCCGTTCTCTGGCGGCCCGGCGGCCCGTGGCGGGCCCCAGAGCAACAGGGGGCGTGCCCTCCAGGCCCCGTTTTGCTTTCATGCGCTTCGCACGGGCGTGCCTCTCTCTCTCTCGGGCCGGGCGAAAGAGGGGGATTGAGAATGGGGGGGGTACGAAATTTGCTGCATGCAGCTGGTTTCGGCCTCACCGAGGGGCCCATTCCTCGATACATAGCCGCCTCCGGCGCCGGGAGGCGCCGGGGAAATCAGCTCCATGAGCTAATTCTCAAACCCCCCCTTTGCTATCCCCCCCTTTCGCCCGACCCGACTCTCGTGGGGGAAGTTCTCGGAGGCATCGCCCCGGCGCGCAGCAGTCCCATCATCTAGTCTCGGGGGCCCCCAAACGGGGTGGTGGCCACACCGTGCGGTGAGTCGGTGGGGATTCGGGGTCACCGCACGGTTTTGGGACTCGAGTCCCTCTCCGAGGATGTCTCTGGCGACAGGGGCTTCCAGGGTCCCAAAACCGTGCGGTGACGGACCGTGCGGTGAGATCTTGGGGTATTTCGAGGTCCGGGTTAAGTCCGACGTAAATTCGACGCAAGTCCGACGTGGATGCGACGTAGAGTGGGTCTGAAGTTGCCGCGCGAGGCCTCCATGGTTTTTCTCGTAAGGTGTGCTTTGGAAGCCGGAGGTCAGGTCCCAGCTTGTGCCTGCGTGACCCCTTTTTGGCACGTGTGCCATTGAGTTAGCCAGTTGGTCAGGGCATTGTTGGGTTCCCAGCTTCCTGCTTGCCAGGTGAGGCCCAAGGAGGCATCTTTGCTGGGCAGATGCTCGAGTGCTCTGTTTCCCCGCCCGCGCTCGTTGAGCGGCACGCTCTGTTCTGCCGTCGTGGGCCTGCAGCACTCCTCCTCCTCAGGTAACGCTGTCGCAGGCCGGGCACCCCTGCTCGCTGTCCCTGAGCCTGGACAAGTACAAGGCCCTGCCGCGCCCGGCCGTGCTCTTCCCGGCCGCCCACGCGCAGGGGGTGGGCTGCCCGACTTTGGCACTCCAGGGGGCTGCCCGCAGGGGGGGGGGCGGCGCCCGCAGGGGGTGGAGGCGGCGGACGACGACGAGGTTGAGTCGACGATCGACGCTCGATCCATACCTCACAGGAGGAAAAGGTACCGCTGCCCGCTGCCCTTCCCTTGTTTTCCCCTTTCTGGGCCTCCTGGGAGGCCCTCGTCGCCACAGCTGGATTCGTCGTGCAATCCTAGTCAGAACGCACCCCCGGAGAGGTCCGGGGAGTAGCGGTATTGGTAGCGTTTGGTTCTCCCAATGCCCGTGTTGTTGCCCCGCACTCTGGGCCCCGGGGGACGCAGGCATGGACACGAGAGCGTGGCCCTGGAGGCCTGAACCTGTCGATCCCTCCGCTCTGGCTCCCCCTGGGGTCGGAGCGCGAGCAGGAGCATGGATAAGCTGTCGGTGGCCTCCTGAAGAGGGGGGACGAGCAGCAGCGTCACAGACTCAGAAGACATCTATACACCATCACCGTGCCAAGGCAGGGCCAGCCTGGGCCCAAGGATGGTGTAGACGCCCTCCCTGTCGAGGCCAGGAGGGTCTGTACATCATCCTGGGGCCTAGGATGGCCAAGGCCTGGCACGGAGGTGGTGTGTAGATGCCTTCGCCGGATCACCTGCTGGAGGAGGACGACCGCAGTGCCAGGAGCGGCACAGACGTGAGCCTTCGTAGGTGCGCGCAGACTTCTTGGGTCGGCACGAGGCCCCACGCGCGTCGCCTCTGGCGCCGCCCCTCGCACGGTTCGCGCGCCAGGGAGGGGAGGTGAGCGTCGACCCCAAAGTCCGTGGGGATCTCTGAAAGTTTGAACGCATTGTCCATGTGTTTCTTTGTTGTCCTCGACGAATGGGAGGATGAATGGGAGGGGATTGCATGACAGGTCGGACATGGCAGGCCTTACCCATCCTCTATGCGATGCCTCTGGCAGTGGCCCGTTCAGGATCCACCTGGCGAGCCCATGTGTCGATTCCATGGTTAAATGAATCAGAGTGTGGGGGTCGAACGGTCATTCACTGTCCCTGGGTGCGTGGCTGAAGAGGGGTTCCGCGGTGCGGATTGTTGTTGCGTTGTTGTTTGTTGTTGTCGTTATTGTTGAATTTTCCATGTTTCAAGGATAACTACTGTTTATCCCCCCTGTCCGGTAAGCGTTTTGTTTTTCAGCCACTGTGTTCTTCCCGTGGCTCGCACCTTGTTTTTGTACAAGGGAAAGTGTGGAATCACTGAACTGTGTTGTTGGCCCCAGTTTACAGCAACAACAACATCAACAGCAACAGCAACATCAGCAGCAATCATGTTAAGACTGTTCGCTCTTACCAGCTCGCGTGCCACTCAACACGTATATCACATACCCTCGATACCCGCACTGTTCGTCTTTGATCGCGCCCGCTTAGGGGTATATCTTTCTTACCTGCCGCGTGTGACTGGTGCAACCCATAAAACAAGCGAGGCCCTTGAGGCAGGGGAAGGAAGGAAGGGACAAGGGGAAGGGAGGACGGACGGAAGGAAGGGACAAGGGGAAGGGAGGAGGATGGAGCACGCGAAAGAGTAGCAGGAGAGGGGCTAGGAGCAGAAAACACGTCGCAGAACCAGACGGGCTGATCGGGCGGGTAGACCCAATCGGGCGTGTCGGGGAGGCGGCCCACGCGGCCAGGTCGAGCAGACTGGTTGCTGAAGCGTGCGTCCTGCATCAATCGCTGGGAAGTCTCGAGCGATAACGCGATTCCCAACTAACTCGTGAGAAGATTCACAGCGAGAGCGTGATTCCTGAGTGTCGAGGGCGCGGCGTTTCCTACGCGAGAGAGTCATTCCTGCATAAATCGTGAGGGAGTCCCGCGCGAGAGTGCGGTTAGGGAATAATTCGCGAAGACGTATTATGCGGGAACCGCTCTTGTTGTAAACCGGGGCCGGCAACACAGTTCGGTGACACGTCTTTTTTTCACGTGTAAAAGAAAACAGGTGCGAGCCCCGGGAGAAGCGTTTAAATTGAAAAACAATGGTTACAGGAGGATGGGATCAACAATGGTTCTTCAGAGATGAAAATTCAATAACGGTTCCAGCATGATACTTCTTGGCAATATATTGAGAAACCGCGTTCTCGCGTTGGATTTCTTCACAGTGTATGCAGGATTCGCAGTCTCGCGTGGAATTTTCCCGCAATGTATTCAAACGCCGCGCCTTCGACGCTCACGAATCGCGCTCTCGTTTTGGGTTTTGTCGTGATTCATGTAGGAATCGCGCTGTCACTCGAGACCTCCTCGCGATTCATGCAGTACTCACTCTTCAGCAACCCGCCTGCTCGACCTGGTCGCTTGGGCCCGCCTTCCTGACCCGCCCAGTAGAATCTACCCGCCCGATCAGCCCGTCTGGTTGTGCCGCGTGATTTCTGCTCCTAGACCCCCTCCTAATCATCCCGTGCTCCATTAATCTCACTCCCCCTTTCGGTCCGTCCTCTCCTCCCTTGACTTAAGATTGCGCCAGTTACACGCGGCATGTAAGGAAGATATACCCCCACGGGGGCACGATCGAAGATACAGAGGGCGGGCATCGAGGGTTTGGGACATACGTGTTAAATGGCACGCGAGCAGATATGAGGGAACATCTTTACCCTGATTGTTGTTGTTGTTGCTGGTGGTGGTGGTGTTTCTGCTGTTGCTGCTGCTGCTGTTGCTGTTGTTGTTGTTGCTGTTGTTGTTGTTGTTGTTGGTGTTGTTGTTGTTGTTGTTGTTGTTGTTATTGTCGTCGTGTTTGTTGTTGCTGTTGCTGTTGCTGTTGTGGTTGTTGTTGTTGTTGGTATGTGTGTTGTTATGTTTGTTGTTATGTTTGTTGTGTGCTGTTTGTTGTTTGTGTGTGTGTGTTTGTTGTGTGTTGTTTGTTGCTTGTTGTTTGCTGCTTGTTGTTTACGGATTGCTACTTATTGTTTGTTGTGTGTTGTATTTTGTGTTGTTTGCAGTGTGTTGCTCGTTGTTGTTGTTGCTGTTGCTGTTGTCGTCGACCCACCTGCGACCCGCCCGCGACCCACCTGCGACCCGCCTGCGACCCACCCGCGACCTACTCGCGACCCACGCCCGACCCATTCGCGTCCCACCCGCCACCCACCCGCCACCCACCCGCCACCCACCCGCTACCCACCCGCCACCCATCCGCCACTCACCCCGCGACCCACCCGCGACCCACCCCGCGCCCGTCCACTCACTGTTATCCGCAACTGCGGGGTGAAACATATTGATGTGCTTGATATGTGTGTATATGTTGTGCGACGCTTGCCACCGACGACATGTTGTCAGGAATCCGACGCGTCAATAGAAGAGCGTACCCCACGCACCCAGGTTGCATTTGCATTGCCCTGCTGGCGCGCTCCGCTGTTCTCATTGTCTCGCCCCGCGATTGGACCTATTGGTTTTTGAAGGTACAGTTTTATCGGGTTGGCCTGATATTGCGTCGAGTTATTTTGTGCGGCTCTCTCTTTTGGAGGCCTTGCCAGACATTTTGTTGTCCCAACCTGCGTCAGTAGCATCCACGCTATTGCTTTGCTGTTGAGGAATCAAGCGCCGCAAGGGTGGCACCTTCTCCTGACTTGCCAGAGGACCCAGACCTCCAACGTCTCGTTTTTCAGGACCCCCTTCCTGAGAATCGGCTGTCCATCAGGACTAGGAAAGGGAGAGGCAACGGACGGAGGAGGATCAGGAGGATCAGGGCCGTTGCGATCGAAGTTGGTACCAGGAAAAGTGGGGTCGAACACCTATTCGTCGTGCCTATCTGGAACATGCTTCACTGCCGGTGCCGCCTCGGGCGTTGCCCACTTGAAACAAGCAGTCGCCTGCCCCAAAGCGGCTGTCGGTTTTGGATAGGGCTTGCTGTTAGGGATCGTGCTCATTGTTCCGGAATCTATATCGGGCGTGCCGGCAGGAAGGGGAGGAGGGGGCGGAAGTGGCATGTGTTTCGGTGGCGCCCCCCGCCTCTTCCCCAAGCCGCCAGTCGAGCAACGCGGTAACTCGCACCTGGTGGCCGCCGCACGCTGTCCTCGTCGAGCTCTCCCTTTAGCCCCACCCCCGCGCGAAGGAGGGGGGGAGGGGGGGGAGGTGAAACATGCGATGGAGGAGGAAGAGGAGGAGGGTCAGGAGCATTTTCGCTCACAAGCCACGGCCAAGAACCGCGATCAGATCGGGCAACAAATTCCTGGCGTTTCCTGCTCGCCAGCTCTCCGCGCTCACGTGGCCTTCGTCTTCGACACGCTCCCCGCTGCTGCCCGCCTCGTCGTGGCCGCGGATCTTTGCGTGCCGTCGCCGCCGCAGCACGCTCGGCGTTCGGCCCGTTTTGCGCGCCCGCTAACCCCAAAACGCCCCTGACAGCCCATCTGGAAGACGACGCCAGGGCGGGTAGAAACGACGCCCAGGCGAGTAGAGGTGATCAGGGAAGTGTAGGAGCAGAGAGGGGGGCATCCGTTGTCGTTCGCAGGAGGAGGAAGAAATTGAGGAGGGCGGAGGATGACGAGAAAGATTCAGATGATGATGATGATGATGATGATGATGATGATGATGATGATGATGATGATGATGATGATGATGATGATGATGATGATGATGATGATGATGAGAAGGAGGGATTCTTCGGGCGACGACGAGTGCCTCTGGCCTGAGGAGGAAAATGGCGAACTTGAAGGCCTCGTGGGGCGTCTTAGGGGGCCTGTTGGCGGTCCCGGGGGCCTTTTGGGCGCCTCGGGGAGCCTCTTGGGGGTCTCGTGGGAGCCTCTTGGAGGCCTTTTGGAGCTTCTTGGGGCCTCCTGGCCTCCTAGGCGCCTCTTGGGGCCCTCTTGGGGCGCTCTTGAGAGCCTTGGGTACGCTCTTGGAGCCATGTTGGAGGACATCGATCCACAGAGGGAGGAGCTTCAATTAGCCTCGCCCTTCGAGAGTGCCTAACATCGCCTCTTGGACCCCTCTTGGAGCGCTCTTGGGGCGCTCTTGGGCGCTCTTGAGATCCTTCGGGGGCTCTCTTGAGCCTCTCTTGGGGCCGTCTTGGACCGATCATGAGGCCTCGGGAGGCCATCGAAAGCAAAAAGACGAGACGGCCAAATTTACTGATTTGCCTTAGGTTTGGGAAGGAGTTTGGCCTCTTGGGGGCCTCCGTGGGAGACTCCGTGGCCATCTGGAACCGTCTTGGAGCGGTCTTGGGGCCTCTTGGAGCAGTGCTTGGGAGCCATCTTGAGCCATCTTGGGCCATCTTGAGCAGCCATATTGGAGGTCATGCTGGGCTCTCCGAGGCCCTCTTGGCGCCATCTTGGGCCATCTTGGACGCTCCATTGGGTCGCGGCACCGCCCATCCAGGTCCAGGGGAGGGGGTAAGGGCAAGCTAGGTGCGCTCGCGTCATATCTGACGTCCTACCCCTCCCTCCCATCCATTACCATGGTGCAGATCTCCTCCTTATTCGCACAATTGGATGTCGTAGCACGGCGTATAATCACATGGCATAGCATGGTGTTGAATAGTAACGCGTAGCACGACATAGAATGGCGTGGCGACGCCCCAAAATGAGGAGGGGGTTTCAGCGGCGAACACAAATCCACGAATCGGCACCCAATGAGTAATCACTTCCGATGAGTTCTTCCGGAGGCATGTTCTAGATTTTGGGGCTTATTTGCAAGGGCCGACAACCATGCCGTGGCATGGCACTGGAAATAATGACGCCAGCGTTGCAGCGGGAGCAAGATTCGGAACGAGCGGTAGCCCGAAAATGAGGCCAGCGCTTCAGCGAGAGCAGCATTTTGAAACGAAAAACAAGCGCGGAAGCGCTGAAATGAGGACGCGTAGCCTGACATAGCAAGGCGTGGCGACGCCCCAAATGAGGGGTGGGGCGCTTCTGCGGCGCAAGCAATCCACGAATCGACAAGGAATGTGCAATCACTTCCGATGGTATTTTCGGGGGGGCATGTTCTAGATTTGCGGGCCATTTGGGAGGACCGAAAACCATGCCGTGGCATGGCGTTGGAAATAATGATGCCAGCGCTGCAGCGGGAGCCCGATTCGGAACGAGCGGAAGCGCGGAAATGATGCCAGCATTGCAGCGGGAGCAAGATTCGGAACGAGCGGTAGCCCGAAAATGAGACCAGCGTTTCAGCGAGAGCAGCATTTTCAGAAAAAACAAGCGCGGAAGCGCGGACATGCGGACGCGTAGCCTGACATAGCACGGCGTGGCGACGCCCCTAAGTGGGGGGGGCGGTTCTGCGGAGAATCCACGAAACGACACCGCATGTGTAATCTTTTACGATGGTATTTTCGGGGGGCTATTTTCTAGATTTTGACTGGCGCCGGAAATAATCACGCCAGCGCTGCAGCGAGAACACGATTCGGAACGAGCGGAAACGCGGAAATGAGGCCAGCGTTGTAGCGGGAGTACGATTCGGAACGAGCGGTAGCCCGAAAATGAGACCAGCGCTTCAGCGAGATCAGCATCTCGAACGAAAACCCGAGTGAAAACCCGTTTCGGGTAAATATTGTGCGCAAGAAGTCAGTACGCGGAGGGGGGCCAGCCATTTCCCGGACGCCGCCAGGGGAGAGAGGAGAGTACCATTCATATTGTTAAGTTGTAAACCCCTCCCCGAAGGGGAAGAGGGGAGGGGTGGAAGAGGAAGCGCCCTAAACCACCTACGCCCAGAGGGCTGGTGGGATTGACAAGTCGACAGTGATTCCAGATCTCTTCGGATGAAGGAGGACGGGGAGGAGGAGGAGGAGGAGGAGGAGGAGGACGAGGAGGAGGACGAGGGGGAGGAGGAGGAGGACGAGGAGGAAGACGAGGAGGAGGAGGAGGAGGAGCGGGAGTCAACGAGGAGAGAGCCACCCCACGCAGGGCATGGCCGAGGTCTCGCAGGCCCTCGAGGCGGGGATGACACCCGTGGTGAGCTACTGGACCCACTGCGCGGCTCAGGGGCAACTGTACGGGATGGTGTGCGCGGGGGGGGGGAACTTCGACCCCCAATCGCCCATAGATCGCTGTTAGTGTCCCGATAGCTTCGCCCCGCCCAGGAACTTGCGGAGTTGCTATTGGGGGCCTATCGGCGATGTATCACCGATTCCACGTCGATGACTCCCCCCCCCCCCAGCTGACCTGAACGTTCCCCCTCAATGGCTCGGGGGCGCCTGGGACGGAGGGCCCTGATCTCCTCTCGTTGTGAATTGCGCGACGGAAGTTCTGTCATCGTCGAGCTCCGGGGGATTGGGCCCCACAGGGCCGTCAGAGAACGGCTCGGAAAGAAAGGCGGGTCCCTCGGGAAGGGGTCCAGACGGGGATCGTGGGCGACTCGTGGGCGAATCAACATGCCTACCTGCGGCCTCGCGGGCCGAGCCCCCTGAGCTGCGACCCCGTGTATATGGGGCGTTTTTTGAATCGCAGATGCTCCGCGCGGAGGGTTTCTTTGCGACCATGTACCCGCGGAATCCAGACCGCGAGGGCGTGGTCGGGCAGGGCTAGGACAAGGTTGAACCGGTTCCAGAGCGTTCCAGAGCGCTCCCAGAGCTTTCTGGAACGCTCCGAGAAGGCCACGGCGCCCAATTCGTCCTCCCGAGCCGCTGGATCTCAGAGATTCTCGAGTTATCCTCCTCCGAGTTTGTCCTCGCCCTGGCCTGCGTGGATGCGGATACGGTCGCCGCTCGATCGACCCCGGGGTCCCTGGGCGGCCCAGGCCTCTGGGGGACCGTGCCGTGGAGAAACGTCGCGGCGTCGGAGGTCTGGGCCGGCGGCGCCCGAGGTGGCGCTGGGTCTCGCCTCCTCCCTCCTCCATCCTCCCTACTCCCTACTCCCTCCTCCCTCCTCCATCCTCCCTACTCCCTCCTCCTCCTCCCTACTCCCTCCTCGTTCACCTCCTCCTTCTCCTCCTCCTCCTTTTCCTCCTCCTCCTCTTCCTCCGTCTCCTCCTCCTCCTGCTGCTCCTCCTCCTGCTCCTCCTTCTCCACCTCCTCCTCCATCTCCTCCTCCTCCTTTTTCTCTTCCTGCTCCTCCTCCTCCTGCTCCTCCTCCTCCTCCTGCTCCTCCTCCTCCTCCTGCTCCTCCTCCTCCTCCTCCTCCTCCATCCTCCCTACCCTCTACGCCTTACTCTTCCTCCCTGCTTTCTCTTCTTCCTCCTCCTACTGTTCCTCCTTCTCCTGCTCCACCTCCTCCTCCTCATTCATGCCCTCCTCTACCTCCTCCTCCTCCTCCTCCTCCTCCTCCTCCTCCTCCTCCTCCTCCTCTCCTGAGGCCTCCGGGTCCTGCTCCCGCTCATGCAGACGTGGCCGGCGCGCATCGCTGCCGCATCGCATCAGCCACGCGCCGCATTGTGGCCCGTGGTTGCGCTTGCTTCGCGGCCAGCAAACCCCCTCGTCCTCCTCCCTCCTTCTCCTCGCACCGTGGGTAAGGAGGCTGGCTACTCCCGAGCAGTGGCTAAGCGTCCTGGCTTGCTGATAGGCCCGTCAAATAATGTTATAATAACCTTTTGTGGTCTGCGCGACATGTTTGAACAGTGGGAAAACGACTCCAGCCCCCACAACTATTGATAATACATGTCAGCGTTTTGCATGTATGGCGAACGTGCGTAAGTGTAGGCGCCTTGTCGGCGAGACCATTGCCAGCTGCCGCGGGGGGTCCCGCGCGCGCGGCGACGTCCCGGGTCACTCGACGCGGCCGCGCCCGCGCCGGCATTCCCAGAGCCGTGCGTGCCACAGCCGCGGCATGCAGGTTGAGGCGACGCCGGCGCGGTCCCTCGCACGGCATCGCCGCTGGCCTAGCCGAGGGCCCCCGCCCCCGCCTCCGTCGCCCCCTCGTAGCCCGCCGACGGAAAAGTTTAGATCGGGAGCGTTTCTCTTGAGGTAACTGTTCCAATGCAATGTTTTGTTGGGCGCTTATATACACGGAATTGTTCTGTTTATGTAAACATTGTTGGGCACTCCCGCGCGAGACTTTTCGTTTTGGAGAAGCTTGGACCGGTTGTATATAGACTTTATATAATTTGTTTTGCCTGGTGCCTAGACTTTGTTTCCGGGGTGGATCTGAACTGTTCGATGTGCGCTCGTGCGGGGCTGGCCCTGGGCGCCGTCCCAGGCTCTTTCCATCGACGCCAAGGGCCGACGCGCCCCGTGGTTTTTGCCCTGGCACGAGCGCGCGAACGTCCACAATCACTGTGGGCATTGACCGTGTGCCAATACAAGGCAACGCCGAGGTCGAACGGCAATGAGCATAGCAGCAGCGCGCCGTTCGCATTGACTTGCGCGGCGTTGTCGTTGGCCGACCGTCGAGCTGTTTCCGTTCGCAGTTCACGCGTCGTTCGATGGTCCCGTTCGCATAGAATTTCGTATGTGGGAGGCGGGGGCGCTTCTCAGGCGCTCCATGTTTTTAGAACAGTTCGGGCCGATACCATGTTGTTCAAACGGATTTGGGCTTCTGATACTACTTTGGGCCAGGCCCATCAGAATGTTGGGGCGGCCGGCCCCTGTTCAATAATGATCGGGGGTAATATTTTCGACGGGGTCTTTCAGGCCTCGTCAAGCAAGATTGTGGGATGGGGGTCGATGTTGGACCCTTCGTTGCACTGCTTTGTGGGGTAGGGGGCCCCAGCGCGCTGACAGATGTGTTTTTGACCCCCCCCCCCCGCTATTGTGATCTTTGGAGTACCAGATTGCAGCTGGCCTGGGCCTGGTTGCGCTTGAACCGCGAGTTATTCCTCACGTTTTCCCCTTCCGTGTTGTTTTCCCCCCGCCTGTCATCCTCTCTTATCCAGGCGTTGTTCGACCGTCTTCGCATCCAGTTTCCCGGCAAGCCGCCTTCCTGTTCTGGCGGGTGGTTGCGGCCAGCCCTTTTGCTAAAGGTGGAGCGGTTCGTTCTCTTGCGAAGTTTCTGGCATTTGTCCGACCGTCGCCGGTAAGCATCGGACGTTCGTTGCTTGAGTGCGCGTCGGCCTTGATCAACGGCGTTCGGCCGCCGCCCAGCGCCGCGGGCTTATCAGAGTTCAGCGGGTTCGAGGCTCAGGGCCCCGTGTTCCCGCGCCTCCTCCTCCTCCTCCTCCTCCTCCTCTTCCTCCTTCTCCTTTTTCTCCTCCTCCTCCTTCTCCTCCTCCTCCTCCTCCTCCGCCTCCTCCTCCTCCTCCTCCTCCTCTTCCTCCTCCTCCTCCTCCTCCTCCTCCTCCTCCTCCTCCTCCTCCTCCTCCTCCTCCTCCTCCTCCTCCTCCTCCTCCTCCTCTTACTCCTACTATTCCTTTTCCTGCTCCTCTTCCTCCTCCTCCCCCTCTTCGATCCTCCTCCACCTCCGCCTCCTCCTCCTCACTCCTCCTCCTCCTCGATCCCCTTCGTTCCTTCGATCCTCCTCGATCCTCCTTCCTCTTCTCCTCCTCCCCTCCTCCTTGATCGTCCTCTTTTCCCGTAGCCATTCCCTGTCAAGCCATTCTGGCTGAAAGGTCTGTCGTTCCCGTGCGGACAGAGTGGATTCCGCCAGTCCGCGGCCAGTTTCGGCCTATCCCGTGCAGTCCGCCCTGCGTCTGCATTCGGCCTGCCACCTCATGGGTTTGCATGCGCCCAGGTTTCGGCGAGCTCCTGCACGACCATCAGTTGCAGCAGCGCCTCCACGGTGCCAGCTCAGTGGAACCATGATGTCAAAAATGATTCGTATTGCAGATTCTATACATTTCGTTGCACTGGGGCCCCTTTTTTTTCAATTGGGGTCGAGTGAACAGTGCTACAAGTTTCACGTTAAAAAAAGGTTTCCTTGCTCCGTCTGCCGTCCAGCCCGGCATCCCGTCCTTGCGCAGGCGAAAGGTTGGCGAGATGGCAGGAGGTGGAGGAGCCCACTTTTAGTCATTGGCGAAGCTCGAGCACCGCCTCAAACATTAGAAGATGCAACATGCCACTGGTCAAGCATGTTCAGTACCTGGAGAGTGCCAGAGCTGATTGGGCCAAATGACCTCTTACGGGGGCTCGTGCTCATCACGAGGCACCACGTCCGAAACTATATGGGAACAGGCTCCTTTCCAGAAAAGTTTACGGCACTTTCGCGGCGATTTGAGCAGGCCCGTCCCCATTTCCAGAAAAGGAGGGCCGGCAAGGAGTCGGCAAGGAGTCTGCCGGTACGGAATTGGACGCGGCTCAGAAGGCAGTACAGGAAGCAGCTGAGTTGACAGAGCGCAAACAAGCAGTGGCCAACCTGGAGGAGGATATCCGCGGCCTCTCCCAGCAAACTGAGCCCCAGCCTGCCGGTGACGGGCAGTAGCCTGTCTTTTCGGTGGGCACCGACAAACTTGCGAGCGCCATGGGCAGCATGGAAGGGGTCGCCAGCGCCCAGAAGTTGGCATATTTGTTCCAAGAGGTACATGTTTGACAACTGGGACATCGACGGCATGGAGCTGGGTGTGCTCCGCAAGGATGTCGCCGACTCTGTGGAGGACCGCGCCGCGTAGGCATCATAAGCCAAAGCGACGCCGAAACCTTCATAAGCAAAGCGAGCGCATTGGCAATCCGTCTTTCTCTTCTGGTTTGCATGTTGCCAGCCCATCTCGTGATATCGTCTACGGCATGGCGTGGCATAGCGCATTCAACGCACCGCCTCCGTGACATTGGAGCGGCTCCAAGACTTCAGCAGACACTTGCGCGGGAAACGTGACATTGCAGAGGTGGCCACCATGTCATGCGTCGGCCGCATACTTACCATCATGTCGGGCACAATCCGAAGGCGCGCTGTACCTAGGCGCCTGGGCTCAAGAAGCCAGGCGCCCAGCGCCCAGCCCGCCGCGCGGGCGCGGGCGACGTGCGCCGGCGGGGCGCCGACCTGACGCCGACGCGCGGGCCCCTGGAGGTGAGCCCCCCCTTTCCGCGGCGGTGGGCCGCGGCCGCCGGCGCGCGCGGAGGCGGCTGCGCCTCGCCATCAGCCGCCAGGTTGAGATCGCCTGGCTCGCCATGGCGCAGGGCGTATATGGCAGCGGCACCGCGTGGGAGCAGGTCGAGCGCCGGCTGATATCGGGGGGGGGGGGGGGGGGGCGGGCGAGGGTGGAACCCTCCGCCAACAGCCGCGCCGATGTGACCAGCGAGCGCGGACTCGTCGGAGATGGTGGATCTGTCGGAGAAGGTGCACAACGCATAGGAGAAGGTGGATTCGTCGCTGATGACGGACTCATCTGAGCACGCGCGCGCAGAAGAGAGAACGGCGACGCGTTCGAGGAGGCGGGCTCGGCGGGGAGGGGGGAGCTGTCCGAGAGCTCAACTCGGTCGACGCGCGGCGGATGGCGGACGCGTCGGGGAAAGATGTCGAGGATGCGGGCTCGTCGGTGAAGGCGGATCTGCCGGAGACGACGGGCGACCCGACCGAGAATGCGGGATCGCCGGAGAACGTTGTCTCGACCGAGGAGGCGGACTCGTCAGAGAAGGAAGGTCTTGAGGTGTCGGAGAAGGCGGGCAACTCGTCGTAGAAGGCCGACTCGCCGGAGAAGGCGGACTCGCCGGGGGCGGCGTGTTAGGCGGCCTCGGGGGACTCGCGGGAGAAGGCGGGTTCGTGCGTTTCGGGAGTTTGCAGAGCTACGTGTCGCGCGCGGGAGGAGATCGGCATTTGATGGTTGGGGCGTGCGCAGTTCCGCGCCGCGCGCCGCTTCCAGGGCCGCGCGGCCGAGGGGGGAGCGGGGGGCGGGCCGCGCGGCGGTCGCACGGCGAGCAGTCGCTGGGCCAGGCGCGAGAGAGCTCCAGCGCACCGCTGGCTCGTGCGCATTCGGCCGCGGGGGTTCTTGAGGGCTTCTTGCGGGTTCGCGGGGCTTCCTGGTCGGCTGGCCGCTAGCCGATGTCCGAGAGCAAAAAGACATCGCTTCGCCACGCCGCGTCAAATGGGGCGCCCCAAGTGGCGGCCCAGCGGGGTGGGCGGCGGGGGCGGGGCGCGCGCGCGCGGGGCGGGGGGGGCGGGCGGGGCCTGAGTGCGAAGTGCTGCGTGAGATCCGGGGCAAGTGGGCAATGCGCTTCAGCCTCCATCGCTCGTCTTCGGCCCCGGCGGCCAGTCTGGCTCAGCGACGGCCCAGGTGCGCAGCGTTGCGCGCTAGCGGGGATATCCCGGCGCGCGGGGCGCTGGGGGCTGCCCGCGGCCTTCGCGGGCAGCGACCAGCCGTGGCCCCGCGGGCAGTGCAACAAGGGGCTCGGGTACTACAAGATGATCGAGAGCCGCAGAGAGCACGCCGCGAACGCGCCTGGGCACGAAAAATGTCAATAGGCAAAGGAAGTCAATGGAAGAGGGCGCGCATCAACTGCGAGCTGGAGCCCAGGCAGGACGAGTGGATCGAGTGGAGCGACGAGGGGGATATACGACATGGAGGAGAGCAGTGCGTTGCCAGCGCATGTCGAGAACAACGGGGGAATGCAAAAGGAACCGCGCGAGCAGCCCAGTCCTCGGGGCCAACCCGCGCGGCAAAAGCGCGCATTGAGGCCGAACAAGGACTTCAGAAGAAGTCTTGCAATCCGAGGGACAAGATGGTCACCGAGAGGCCCAAGGATATGTCAAAGGCACTGCTGGAGGGCATGGACATCTTCGCAACCTGCAGCAGATCTGGAGGAGGCATGGCAGTTGCCGCAAGACGCGTTGAAGAGTATGACATCCTGCTGGACAAGTACATGGCCATGGACGTCAAGGGAGAAGAAGCGCTGTATCCAGCCAAGAAGGAACTGGCGGAACAAGAGGAGGAGCTGGACGAGATGGGCGATTACAAGACGGCAAGCAACATGGGGGGAGAAACAGGCAAAGTACATCAAGGCGCTGGACTTCGCGGACACATGGAGCGACAACGTGCAGCTGTTCAACGTGTGCACGAGAAACACAGGAAAGGGCAGAAGTAATGACATCGCCTGCTCGTGCGGACTGGCCTACCCTGACAAGCTCAGGCGGGGGAGCTTGCCTTCCCTTCCCAGCCCAAACTCATGGGGGGGCGAGTGGAAGTTCCAGCGCAGAGTGGACTGGGCGCAGCTGGTGGAGGCGCAGGAGAGTCACCCAGGAGACGAGCCCATAAAAAAGTGGGCGGTGGACGAAATGAAGGACGACGTCGGCAAGGACAGCGAGAAGTGGCCTGACATCGGGTGCAAGTCGATGTTCCACTCGATCAAGAGGGGGCCTTCACGGTAGTGGAGCTCAAGGTCGGAGAACAGGTGGAGGCGTTTGTAGCGGACAGGCTTCCTTCCGCCGAAGCTAGACGACGCCATCAAGGATGACCATTGCAGGTTCTGCGACGCAGCCCAAGTCCTTGCCGATGACGCACAAGGTCGAGGGCTGCGCACTTATCGCAAGGTACCCTGTGGACTCGTGGGAAAGAGCTGGGAGGAAGGCCTGCACCGCGCGGGGCCGGCGCGCGTCGGCGCTGACGATTCCGAAGAATGACGAGGAGAGCCTCTACAGCGTCATGAAGGTTGCCCCTCGAACTGGCGCGTTGAAGTGCGAGGAGTAGCTGGCTGGAAACGGCGATGTCTACGGCGGCCCCGACCGCGCGGTGCGCGCGCCGCGCGCCGGATGCATGCCCGGGCGCTTCTGGTGTCGGGTGTTTCTGGTTCTGCCCAGGGGCCCCCAAGCGGCCCGCGTGGGCCCCGCTGGTACAGGCAGCAGCCAGTTGCTCTTATGTGGCTGGACGCGCGCCCTCGACGGCCCGACGCGCGCGCGCACGCGCCCGCACGGACGCACAAACACACGCACACACACACACACGCACGCAAACACACTCACACACAATCATACACGCACGCACGCACACATTTACACACACTCATACACACGCGCGCGCACGCACGCACGCACGCACATGCACGTACATATACACATACACACGCGCACACGCGCACGCACGCTTCCAAACACACACAAACACACGCACACGCATTCTTTTGTAAGCCAGCGGCGCAGAGGGCCCTTGAGCGTGAAGAGCAGATGGAAGTGCGAAGTGTGACCGGACCTTGTCGATAGCGCAGCGTACAAGACACGCGCACACACACACACACACATCGCACGCACGCACACACAAACACGCACACGCATGCATGCAAACGCACACACGCACACACACACACACGCACGCACGCACGCACGCACGCACACACACACAGACACGCACAACGTGCACACACACACACACACACACACACACGCACTCGCGCACACAAGCCGCACGCACGCACACACGCACACAAACACTCTTTCTCTCTCTCTCTGTCTCTCACACACACGCACCTTTTGTGTTGGTCGCGCGCCTGTCGAGGGGGCGCCCCTGGCAACCCCCAGCCCGTGGCCCGGAGGAGCAGCGACGAGATGCTGTGGATGGACGGGCAGGGGAGCGACGGCCTCGGGCGCCGCGGGGAGGGCTGCCCCATCCCCCCGCCAGTGCGCCCGACGTCGTGTCGTATCACGACGCGGTTTCCCAGAGGTAACTTTACGTCGGGCGTGCCCCGTCTACAGGAGGCATATGCAAGAATTGTCCAAAAATTGCCGGGGACGTTTTTTCTTATACATATGTATATATATATGTACATATATATACACACATACAAAAAAAACATGAATAATAAGTTTGAGTTGTCGCCCAGAATCCGCCTGTAGGGTTAAGTCGGGCTTGTCCCTCCACAGGAGGACCATTTAACAATAATAATAATAATAAAATAGTAGGGGGACGATGTTTGGAGTATTTTTTAGAATTCTGATCATTGCCGGGGTATTGAATTTTAGTTTTTTCGCCCAAAACCCGCCTGTAGAAGCACACGCCCGACCTAAGTGCAGGGGGGCATGCCCGACTTAAAGGTAATTCCTGTCCCGTCTTGCTCTCATCCTTCCTTCCTCCTCGTTTCTCCTCCCCGTTTTCGTCCTGCTCATCCCCTCTTTTCCTCCCCTCCGCCCCTCCTCCTCTCCTCTTTCCACTCTTCCACTCCGCCTCCCCTCCTCCCTCTGGTTTTGCCACATCGTTCCCCCTCTTCTTGGCCCTCCTCCCCCACACATCCAGCTTCGTGATATGTCACGCGGCCCCCAGAGGTCTGGACCTCTTGCCACGGACCAGCCTTTTATCCTGGGTAGTTGTTCGGCAGCCCTGGGGCCTGGCAAGGTCCCCCACAGACCGATTGGCAAACACATCCGTTGCATTATTTTTGCAATCGGCGCGTCGCCCACGATGCCTTTGTTTGCCGGGGGGTGTTGGGAGTCAGCACCGAGGTCCCCTGACCTCCCGCCGTGGCGAAAACCACAGCAGAAGGTCAGTAACCGTCTGCGACCTTCAGGGGCACCTTCAGAAGTTATATTTATGCTGCTTTTTCTTCGAGCGGAGGAGGAGGAGGGGGAGGGGGAGGGGGAGGAGGAGGAGGAGGAGGGGGAGGAGGGGGAGGACAAGCTAGGTGCGCTCGAGTCATGTCTGACGTCCTACCCCTCCCTCCCATCCCTTACCATGGCGTAGATATGTCTCCTCTCTGTTCGCACAACTGGACGTCGTCGCATAGCATAGCATTACATGGCAGAGCATGGTGTTCAAGATCAACGCGCAGCATGACATTGCATGGGGTGGCGACGCCCCAAAAAGGGGGGGGGGGCTTCTGCGGCCCCAGAAATCAACGGATCGGCACCGGATGTGTAATCACTTTTGTTTTTTTGGCGTTGTTTTAGATTTCGGGGCCTATTTGAAAGGACCGAAAACCATGCCGTGGCATTGCACTGGAGATAATGACGCCAGCGCTGCAGCGGGAGCACGATTCAGTGGGAGCGGAAGCCCGAAAATGAGGCCAGCGCTTCAGCGGGGGCAACATTTTGGAATCAAAAACCCAAGTGAAAACCCAGTTCCCGGGATTCCTGTGTGTAAAAACAATGCGCGGAGGGGGGCCGGATATTTTCCGAACGTCATCAGGGGAGAGAGGAGAGCATTATTCATATTGTGTAATTGTGGAGTGGGAGGAAGGGTCGAGGATAAGAGGATGAGAGACCACCACCCCCGCTTCTTCGTGGCCCCTCGCAGGGCCCAGAGACCATGGAAGAAAGCTCGATTCGAGGCCTCCAGAACGGGATCCGAGTAGATGGCGGGGTCGGAGGATCGCGCCACATCGCCGATGCATCGGCGACGCAGCTCGATGTGGGGCCGATGTAATTTTCGGCGATGCATCGGCGATGCGGCGCGAACTTCCGACCCCATGCCCGGGGCGAGATGAAAGAGCTTGTGGTTCAAAGATGAGGTCCTGAGGGGTGGGATCCTAAGGATAGGAAGGGATCCAAGGGTGGATTCAAGAGGCCTCACGGCGCCGCCGACCCTGAACAACGACGACGGCGATGTTGACGTGGCTCAGAGTCCTCAGGGATGGTTCTGGGGGTCTCTTCGGAGCGCTCTCGGGGGCCTCTGGGGGGGTAGTCTTGGGGCCTTTTGGGAGCCTCTCGGGGGCCTGTTGGGAGGCTCCTGGGGGCCTCTTGGGGCCTGGTGGGGGCCTCTTGGGGGCTTCTTGGCGCTTCCCAGGAGCCTCAGGCCGATGACTCGAAATGTCTGTTCGGGCCCCCCGTCTGGGCACCCTTTTGGAGCCGTTTTGGGGGCCTCTTGGGCCGTCTTGGAGGCCTCTTGGGCCGTCTTTGAGGCCTCTTAGGCCGTCTTGAGCCCCTCTTGGGTCGTTTGGGGGGCCTCTTGGAGGCCTCTTGGGCTATCTTGGGGTGATCTTGGGGCCTCTTGGACAATCCTGAAATATCGGGAAGCCGACAAAGCGAGAATCCCAACATCGATCAAACACCTTGTGAAAGTCAATGATTTTTGCCTCTTGAGGCCCTTTTGGGAGTGCTCTTGGAGGCCTCCCTGAGCGTCTTGGCATCCTCTTGGGCCGTCTGGAGTCTGGAGGCTAGTTTGGCGTCTTGGGCCGATCGTTCGGCGAGTCGGGGCCCTCTTGGACCGTCTTGGGGGACTCTTGGGGCAGTCTTGGTTCGTCTTATGGGGTTTAGGGCTTTGGGACCCCGCGGGGGGCGGGAAGCATTCTGACCTGGGACTTTCCCTGGGTCCCCCCCTAGATCCCCCCCCGTTTTTTTTTTGTCCGGCGGGCAAGGGATCAAAGAGAAGGGTTTTCCGTTCGATTCAATTTCGATGTGGTTGCTTAGTTTCGTTGCGGCTGGCGCGCTTGAGGAGAGGCCCAAGGAAAGGGAGGGGAGCGGCGACGGCGACGACGACGACGAACGGAAGAGCGTTGTCCACATGCCGACGGTTGGCGGATTTACAACGTTTGGGGCACTTCGTCCAGACCCACATGTGTGGTGGAATCGATGATGTGCAATATATGTTTTGCAATGCATGCGCTACAAACTATGTGGTGCTTTATAGTCAGATATATGTATATATGTAATATATGTAGTTGAACATATACTTTATATATGTGTGTGTGGTCTCATCTACGTTGTGAAATGTATGGCGTGCAATATATGTGGTGCGAAACATGCAGTGCTGTATATGAAGTGCGAGATATACCAGGTAGTACATGTTGTGCAAGCAATGTAGTGCAATATGCGTTGTGCAATATATGTGGTGCAACATGTTGTGAAATCCATGCCATCTAATCTCTGACGTGAGCGACCAGAACGCGCGACCAGAACGACAAGTTGTGCGATGTATGTTCTGGAATCGATGTTGGCCGCTATATGTGGTGCAATCGATGTGGTGTTTCTATGTGGTACAATCTATGTGGTGCAATCTGAGTTCTGCAATATTTGCTGGTGTGCAATGTATCTGCTGGGGCCGCTGTTTTTCAATCTGAATGGTGCAAAACTTGTCATTGTGTAGTGGTTTTCTAGGATCAATGTGGTGCCATCTATGCTATACACTATGCTGTGAGCAACCAGAAAACGGGCCGCACTTGCGGTTTTTGTGTGGCACAATTTTTGTCGCGCGACCAATACTGTGCCAGCACGGCATAGCAATGCAAATCAATGCAAGTAATGTTAGACACAGCGTAGCAATGCGAAGTAAGGCAGAGCAGTGCAAAATAGTGCAACACAACGCAATGCGACGCACTGCGGTGGTAGGAGCTAACGTGCTCATGTATATGATGTGAGCTTTGTGGTGTAAGCTATGCTGTGCAGTCGATTGCAACCGATTGAATTGCAATCGATTGACTTGAGATCGATTGTATTCAAATCGATTGGCTTTCAGTCGTGTAGGCTGTCCAACCAAAATGGTCCAAATATATGTGGCTGTGCAATACATGGTGTGCGATATATGCAGTGCAATCTCTGTTGTGCAATATGCGTGGTGCAACGATCAAACAAAGGCACTGCAGGCGCGACTTGCGTTTTCGTGCAATCTGGGTGGTGCAATCCAGCGAACGCGACTGGCGGCGACGAGGCGGCGACGAACCGCGACGGCGACGGCATAGCAGCCAGACCGCTCAACCGGCCCAGCGGCGGGCGGCGACGAGGCGGCGACGCGGCGAGACGGCGACGACATAGCCGCCAGATCGCCCAACCAGTCCAGGCGATGCGCGGCGACGAGTCGGGGACAGGACGGCGACGGCGACGCCCTTGCCGCCAGACCGCCCAAAACCTGGCCCAGTGCCTCGGAGCACAAGTTAGAGAGTCCCCGACTGCACGCACTTGCTTGGCGAACAAGCGACGTCGGGCGTCGGGGCGGATGAGGCCCCCCGGGGGGGGAGTCGCGCGATGGTCCCCGGGGGTTGGGGTGCACTCTTCCTGGGGCGAGGCCAGCGTCGCGTCGGGTGGCTGGGGAGGAGCAGGAGGGGGCAGTGGAGCAGGAGGAAGAGGCGGGCAGAAGAGAGGAGGAGGAGGAGGAGCCCCGACTTCCCCGCGTCGTGAAAGAAACGGGCAGGAAACGGACGAGGACGGTGAGGAAGAAGAGATAGGCACATGGCGGAGGGAGCAGGAGGAAGAGAAGGGTATAGGGAAAAGGGGGGCGGGAGGAGGATGAGGAGTAGGAGGAAATGAGGACGAAGAGGAGCAGCCCTGAGACTTCTTCGCGTAGTACAGATCCATACGACGGAAGATTTTGCAGTCTTCATCAAAAAGAGGGGATTGATGGGGATCGAAACGGAAGGGGACGATTCGCAGGCCTAGAGGTTGACACCAACACCAATATCGGCGGTGTGCCTCCACCGTGGGAAGACGATCCCGATCTCGGTGGTGGTGGTAACATTCTGGCCTCCAAGGTGACCGAACTAATGCCACCAACACCGAAATCTGTGTTGGCGTTGGTGCCTATTTCCAGGCGTCCAAAAAGGAAGAGGACGATGAGTCAGAGCAGGAAGACGCATCGGTGGCACACCTGGAGGCCATGCGAGAAGGACGCCGCCGAGCAGTGCGGCGACACCGTTGCATTCTTCGACTTCTCCGTGGGCGACATCGAGAAGGCTCGCGCTCGCGGAGCGGCGCTCTGGCGAATGCCACGTCGTGTGGCGTTTTTGCTGTCAAGAAAATGGATCTTCAATTCAAGAAATTGGTGCTTGAATTCGAAAGGATGGTTTGTGAATTCAAGAACTGGCTCTTGAGTTCGAAAAGCAGTTTCTTGACTTCAAAAAGCAGTTTTTGCATTCAAAAACCAGTCATCGGGGATCCGCGTGGCAGAAGTGGGCGCGAGGTCGGGCGAGGGAAGCGGAACAGGGTGTAGAGATTGCGGAGGTACGTATGCGTCGGCGCTATTCCGTCTTGGTCGTTCGCTGTCTCTCCCGCTTCTCGTCGCTTTTTTTATGGTTCCCATGCTTTTGCCTTGCATGCGATCGATATTCGCTGCCCAGCGGTCGGCTGTGCCCGTCTCGTCCTGAGGTTTCAGCCCCACCTGCCTGACCGCACGAGATGGTTGATCCGCTGTGAACACATGACCTTCTCAGAGAACGCGTGTTTCCGGTGGAGCTCTATTTGGGGCCACGGTGCGTGAGATGGGTGTGTCGAAATGGGGCGGGGCCGCCATGCGAGCGCAGCCAATGGGGCCTTCGGTGGAGCTCCCTGTGAGGCCACGATACTTGTGAGGGGTGTGTCGAGATGGGGCAGGGTTTCCATGCGAGCGCAGCCAATGGGGCCTTCGGTGGAGCTCCTTGTGAGGCCACGATACTTGTGAGGGGTGTGTCGAGATGGGGCATGGTTTCCATGCGAACGTAGCCGCTGGGGCTCCCAGAGGAGCGGCCACGACACGTGCGAGGGATGAACCGACATGGACGCGTGGACGGCAGAGGCAAGGATGGGAGGAGGAGGAGGAGGAGGAGGAGGAGGAGAGCAGGGGAAGGAGGTGAGGTGGAGCGCGGCGCTCGAACTCACAGGAGGGCGGTCAAACACAGGAGGGAGAGCAGGACGAGGAGCGGGATGAGGAGAGGAGAGAATAGAGAAGAGAAGAGACGAAAGAAGACGCGCGGCGCAGCGAATTTAGAACGATAACCCAATGCACCGGAGGGGCGTGACACATCGAACGGTTTCATTGATGGCGGGCGGAATTTTTCAAAATGGAGTTATGGCCTTATCGCCGCGCTCAATCGTTTTAACAGCTCGCAGCTGTTACATGGGTGGGGAGTGGTCCGTTTTCAAAAAGTGGCTCCCGCCAAACCGCCGCGCGCAGTCGTCTTGTGAGTTTGTACCCGCTACGCGAATGGAGGGTGTCTTCTGCTCAGACCAGAGCTCCCGCGTGTGACATCCTCTAGGTTTAAGCCCCGAAGGTGAAACTTGTGCAATTGTTCACGGGTGTCTCCTTTTAAGAACAAAGTTTTCGTTTGAGACACCTTGGCATTTGCAGACGAGTTTGGGAGTTGTGCTGATCCACACGGATGGAGGTCTGACCGCTTCCCAAATGGATTTGTCTTTCGATGTGTAGATGGTTGGTTATGATGGTTATCACGTGCTGTGCATTCTTCCTAACTTGAAGTACGGACGGTATGTCTATTACAAGCGGTACCTCGCTTGATTGGCTGGCTTGCGGAATGTTCGGTTGTCAAAGGGGGACGATTCCTTGCAGTATGTTGGAATATCTCAAGGGACTTATCAAGGGGGCTCGGGACGGAAGGGTGGAGCGCAGTATCCGTTGATTAATGTTTTTCCCAACCATCCTGTGGTGTTGGGTCCTCGTTTTGAAGAAACGGTCCCCGCGTTCCTTTCTCCTCCTTCTCCTCGCCCTCCTCCCTCCTGCGTTCGCATGCCTCCCCACCACCAATTTCGGCACACCCATCACACGTTTCGTGGCCCCATAGGCAGCTCCACCGAAGGCCCCAGTGGCTGCGTTCGCATGCCTCCCCACCACCCATTTCGGCACACCCCTCACACGTTTCGTGGCCCCATAGGGAGCTCCACCGAAGGCCCCAGTGGCTGCGTTCGCATGCCTCCCCACCACCCATTTCGGCACACCCCTCACACGTTTCGTGGCCCCATAGGGAGCTCCACCGAAGGCCCCAGTGGCTGCGTTCGCATGCCTCCCCACCACCCATTTCGGCACACCCCTCACACGTTTCGTGGCCCCATAGGGAGCTCCACCGAAGGCCCCAGTGGCTGCGTTCGCATGCCTCCCCACCACCCATTTCGGCACACCCCTCACACGTTTCGTGGCCCCATAGGGAGCTCCACCGAAGGCCCCAGTGGCAGGGTTCGCATGCCTCCCCACCACCCATTTCGGCACACCCCTCACACGTTTCGTGGCCCCATAGGGAGCTCCACCGAAGGCCCCAGTGGCTGCGTTCGCATGCCTCCCCACCACCCATTTCGGCACACCCCTCACACGTTTCGTGGCCCCATAGGGAGCTCCACCGAAGGCCCCAGTGGCTGCGTTCGCATGCCTCCCCACCACCCATTTCGGCACACCCCTCACAGGCCCCAGCTCCAGGCAGTGGCTCCGTTCAGCAGCACACCCCTCACACGTTTCGTGGCCCCATAGGGAGCTCCACCGAAGGCCCCAGGCACACCCCTCACACGTTTCGTGGCCCCATAGGGAGCTCCACCGAAGGCCCCAGTGGCTTCCCCACCGTTCGGCACACCCTCACATTCGTGGCCCCATAGGGAGCTCCACCGAAGGCCCATTTCGCATGCCCACCACCATTTCGGCACACCTCACACGTTTCGTGGCCCCATAGGGAGCTCCACCGAAGGCCCCAGTGGCAGGGTTCGCATGCCTCCCCACCACCCATTTCGGCACACCCCTCACACGTTTCGTGGCCCCATAGGGAGCTCCACCGAAGGCCCCAGTGGCAGGGTTCGCATGCCTCCCCACCACCCATTTCGGCACACCCCTCACACGTTTCGTGGCCCCATAGGGAGCTCCACCGAAGGCCCCAGTGGCTCCCCACCACCCATTTCGGCACACCCCTCACACGTTTCGTGGCCCCATAGGGAGCTCCACCGAAGGCCCCAGTAGCTGCGTTCGCATGCCTCCCCACCACCCATTTCGGCACACCCCTCACACGCTTCGTGGCCCCATAGGGAGCTCCACCGAAGGCCCCAGTGGCAGGGTCCGCATGCCTCCCCACCACCCGTTTCGGCACACCCTTCACACGTTTCGTGGCCCCATAGGGAGTTCCACCGAAGGCCCCAGTGGCGCGGTGCCTATGAGAAGAGGGGCCTAGTTGGGTCCTTCGCCAGGCTAATTTTTTGTGTCCTATCCCTGCTGCTTCTCACATAATTCAGTCTTCACCCCCCTTTTCTCCATAATGTGGTTCCTTCGTCCTTCCGGGAGGTAGGAGGCGGCCTGATCGCATTGGAGAAGCAGGTTGGAGTCAGAGTGGAGGCTGGATCGCGTGAGTGAGGCACAGCAGCCACAGTAGGTACAGAGGAGAAGCTGTTATTTTGAGTAGGGCGGAGGAAGGCGCCCACAGTAGCAATGATCCAGCCAGTGCTACCCACGCGAAGCATTGAAACTGAAGTACACATTCCACGAGTGCCTGAAACAGTGAAAACAACATATCACGACACTGTGCCTCGCGCGCCTCTCAGATAGAGGGGGAGAAAGACCGAGAGGGAGAGACAGATACAGAGACAGAGACAGAGACAGAGACTGACAGCACACAGGCAGGCAGACAGCCATTCCGAATGAGGGGGGTGAGGAAGAGGAGGGATGGGAAGAGAGGAGTACCAGCAGGAAGAGGGGGGAGGGGAAGGGTGGGGAAGGAGGAGGAGGGAGGTGGAGGGAGGAGGCGGGTGCGGGAGCAGGAGGGAGGAAGTAAGGAAGGAGGAAGGAAGAGACGGAAGGAAGCGAATGAGAAATGCAGAGACATTGGAGAGGGGAGGAGGAGGAGGAGGGGGAGGAGGAGAGGAGGAGAAGGAGGAGGAGGAGGAGAGGGAGGAGAGGGAGGAGGAGGAGGAGGAGGAGGAGGAGGAGGAGGAGGAGGAGGAGGAGGAGGAAGAGGTGGAGGAGAAGGAGGGCGCAGTGGAGGCGGAGGAGGAGTGAGGAACGAGGAGAGGGATGCGGTAGAAGAGAAGGAGGAGGAGAATGAGGACGCGGGGTCCAGACGGATGAAGGGGAAGGTGGCGGGCGAGCATGGTGGAGAGATGCCCGAACGCGCCTCGGCGGGGTCCAATCCGCAGGGTGACCATGGCCAGGCACCAGAGAAGGCACCGCCGCCGCCGCTGTCGCTGTCGTTTCGCCATGCATCAACCCGGAGACTCAACGTGTTGAGCAAGTCAAGGCGGAGGTTTCTGTCGCCGTCTTCAGCCCCCAGGGCCGTCGAGAACGGCTTGGAATGAACAGGTGACCCTGGGGAAATCACCGCCCACCAAACCACCCCAACCCAACCCGAAGGCCCCGATTGGCCCTCCATTTCCAGTGGTAGGGGGTCGTCGGGGAACCTGAGAAAACACGTGTGGAGCCCGTACCCCCCCAACCCGAAGTTCGGGTCTTCGGGTTAGGTTGGGGTGGTCTGGTAGGTAGTCAGGAAAGGGTCGGGACTCTGGGGGACCCCGTGTTGCAACAAAAGCAGACGTCGGCGTCCTGGAGGCTTCTCGCCGTTTTTGGTTTCTCGGGGCCCTCCACGGGCAGAAAACGACCCGCGAATGCAGAAAGTCGTCCTGGGAGATAGACCCCGGGGCTCAGGTTAAGTCGGGCATGTTCCTCTACAGGAGGAATAGTCAAAAATAGTGAAAAATAGTCTGGGGACGATTTTCCGATTATGTTTGAAAATCTTCAGATATTTGTTTTGATTTTTCCCAACCATCCTGTGGTGTTGGGTCCTCGTTTTGAAGAAACGGTCCCCGCGTTCCTTTCTCCTCCTTCTCCTCGCCCTCCTCCTTCCTGCGTTCGCATGCCTCCCCACCACCCATTTCGGCACACCCCTCACACGTTTCGTGGCCCCATAGGGAGCTCCACCGAAGGCCCCAGTGGCTGCGTTCGCATGCCTCCCCACCACCCATTTCGGCACACCCCTCACACGTTTCGTGGCCCCATAGG